TTGTCTCAGCAACTGGCCAATCAGAAACCATTGGGTCTGTACCCTGGGTACACCCCACCCTGAGTAAATTGCTGGCCATAGACATTTTTGTATATTCATGTAGCCCCCATGTTGTGGATACTCGGGGATGTCAAAGACTGGATTATTGGGACTGGGAGTGTAAACATCCCTCCGCTCCGCATGGATGGAGCTTGAGTATGGGGGGTAGGCATGTAGTATACTGAGAGAGGAAGAGGGGAAGTTGGGGTAAAGCAGGAGAGGGTGTATGCTGGGAGGGGCCACAACATTAGGGGCTACAAATTTGAATAAGATGTGGGAAGGTTCCATAAGATCGCTGGGAATGTTGCGGCGGCAGGATCTATATTTGGGGGTTGGGTTTGTACTGAGGGACCAGCCTCTGCATCTGATCTGACCCAATATTTTCATTTGAAAGATGGGGGTGGTAAAAGTCTACAGATCTGTAGGGCTGTCCATGCAGGATATAAGGAGCCAGGTCAGGAGGGTAGGCTTCTTGCCGGGTGCCTCTCGTATTCTGCAGCTTCATGGCATCCTCAGGAATTCGGCTCACATCCACCGTCCAGTAGTTGCCCTTAGCCTGCGGCTTTAGCGGATCTTTTAGGACCTGCAAAGAGTGAGAAGACATTAGAGGCGTAGGCCGGCACAGCAAATTCACACAAATCTATTTACGGGTCAGGGGAACCGATCCTTACGGCCTATTTATAATACAGACAAATAATTTCCCCGGATCTGCCCCTATTATCATAAATGGTTATATTTTACATGGATAATATATGTACAAAATATAAAAATGTTTGCTTTCTAAAGAGAGTGGGAAATGGTAGGATCCCCTATCAGGTGTGTGCTAAGATTTTAGCTGCTGGAGTTCTGCTTTTTTTATCCAAATTGTATATAAATCTAAGTATACACAAATATACAAAATACTGAAAAAAATCAACCTATTGAGTGTCGTCTCTGCCCCTCCTGTGATTTTGCCCTTCTGGCAATCTGGAGGAATTAAGTCCCCTGCCCTGGGGGGAGAAAAGTAAGAAATTGGTTGCTGGGGGAGGGGCAATTCCCTGCACCGGAAGATAGAGCAATGCCAATGCCCTGGGGGGGGGGGGGGGGGAGAGACAATACCCTGTGCTGAAAGGAAGGGGGTCAAACCTGCAGTAGAGGTGGATGGCATTCCCTTGGGTGGAGGAGACAATGCCCTGGGGTGGAGGAGACAATGCCCTGGGGGGAGGAGACAATGCCCTGGGTGGAGGAGACAATGCCTGCCCTGGGGTGGCCATATGAAGAATATAATGATGCAATAGGTAGAATCAGTGTTGGGTAATGGGAGGATGAGGGAGGGTAAAAACACAAGGTAGAGTAATGAAGCAGAGTGGACATCTACACATACCGGGGTTTATTTACTAAAGCTAGAGAGTTCAGAATCAAGTTCACTTCTGCATAAAAAACCAATCAGCTTCCAGGTTTTACTGACAAAGCCTAATTGAGCAAGCAGAGGTAAGAAGCTGATTGACTACCATGCACAGCTGCACCAGATTCTGAGTGCACCAGTTTTAGTAAATCCCCCCCATGGAGTAGATACAATAGTTGCTCTGTTTTGGGTATCTGAGTTGTATTTGAAGACATTGCAAATGAAGCTCCCTTCACTGGGTCATACTGGGTGTGTCATCCTGGGACAATGTCTGTAGCACATGGGACTCCAAACAATCCCAAACATCACCCAGTGACACCAGATTCCCATTGTGTCACTCAGCAGTGCTGGAGGCGCTGAGCCCCACAGTAGGAGAACTTATAAAAATAAAGTAAAATGATGTTTATGTTTGGGTAAAAATATAACTCTCCTTGAGTCTGCGGGATTATTTATAATGAGCAGGAAAAAATTGTTGCTTTCCCTTTAACAGTATTTCACAACGCTGCCGTTCTCAGTTTCACAAACATTTAAAGCAGAAAGTTCCAGCGATGTATAAAAACATTAGTGAAAAAAAAAAAAAAAAAACCTTGAAATTTAAAAAAAACAAAGACTTTTGAACATGAAAAGAACAATTTTAAATGAAGTTCCCCTCCTGCTTGGAGGTCTTCATAAATTGTAAAAATACGGCCAAAAAAAGAAAATTCCTCAACAGCTCTATAAATAGACAATTACCAATATACATCAAACCATAAATATACAATTAGTTATAAATACACAACTGACAGACCCCCAACAGAAATGGAACAAATCCAGAGTACGGGATACAGAAAATATTCCAAGCTACCATACAAAAAGGGTTTGCAACCGTACTGAGACCAGGGCCTGGTAAATTCTTCCAGAATTTTCTATGACCCAACAGTAGAAACAAAAAGTCTATAGTCACACAATTAAATTACGGAATACAAAATATGTATTAAAATGCTGGAAAGCTTTGGCTGGGGCTGGATGTCACTGTGGGGGACTGGGTTCTGGAGGGGATTAGAGCAGACCTGATGCCCTTGTAGGGGATGAGGCTTTTGGAGGGAGTTGGGAGTAGATGGGAGGGTTGATGGTCTCTCCAGGAGACTGGGAGCTTTGCAGGGCCTGGGGTTCACCTTAGGAGCTTGGGGGACACTGTTGGAGGTTGGCAAGTCAACACTATTGAGGCAGGAGAGCTCTCAGGGAGTCTTGGGGGGGGGGGGGGGGGACTGTGGAAGTTGAGAGGCAACAGGGCTCTGGGCACACTCTCATATTATCACATTTACATTTTAATACAAGGACTATTCTGCAGGATTAGAACCTTAAGAGCCTACCACCACCATCACATCACAGGAGCACCAAGTCCTTACCTTTCTGAAGCAATCATTGGAGGAGAGGTTGTGTCGAACAGAGTCCTTCCAGCCCTGATAATCCCCCTTAAAGAAAGGGAAGATGCTGCTGAGCTCTTGGAGGATCTGCAAGGAAAAAATATAGTCATAAGAATGAGCATAAACCATAAACCCAGATACGTAATACCTATCACATTATATAAGTAATACTTAGCTCCATTTGTGACTTTGACCCTCACCAGGAAACCTGCACTGAAACACTTAGGAGGACACCTCTGCAGACCTTCTGAATATGCCAGGAGCCCATCTATCATACAATACTTCCTAAACTGGGCATATAGCAATTGAAGTCATGGTAAAGACAGAACTCTTTGTACATGCTTGTATTGATTTTTGGGAAAAACAGCAATTTTCTGAAGAGGTTTGATGTTGAAAGCCTCCATGTTTTTTGTCCAGAAATGTTTCCTTTAAAGCCCATCAGTAATAAAAACAGAAAATTCACCCTACTTCTGTTTTTACTACATATTGGTATGTTTTTTTCAGCCTTCGTAAGTCTACCAGAGATTAATTTTCTCCTTAAAACTTTTTTTTCTGAAAATAAAGACTTTCCCTCTGACTGGTCCTTATTCTGAGCTGGTCTCAATGTCACCCCCTTCCCCTGCCCCTAGTTGCAGTAAAGTCCCAAGAAGACCCATAATGGGGGTTAGTTACCTGGGAAAGCTTGAGCTTTCTCCCGGGGGCGCTCTGGATCACCATGGCAATCATGGCCATGTAGGAGTATGGTGGTTTGGCGTATCTTTGATAATTCTTCTTTTTGCTATTCTTGCTGTGCTGGTCATTTGAGTCGGGGGCTTTGGGGTCTCCACTGGCCTCTCCAGGGCAGTTCTCGATGTCGGGCAGGTTTCTGTCCAAGTTGTTGGGGTCAGAGACAGGCATGTTGAGGCGATTCCAGGGATGATGTGGATAACTCAATGTTTTGTCAAGTGTGTTGGAAGTCTGGGGGTTGCCAGATATACATAAGGCTGGGACCCCCACCCTGGTTTTATGATGTAAATGTCCCCTTTAGGAGAATAGGGCAACACCTAGCTTACTGTAGAGGGTCCCCATCCCTCCATTCAGTGGAGGTTATAGAAATTTCAGGGCTGTGGTGTGGTATGATTGTTATGTATATGTTGTGTAGACTATTTGCTGCTGGTGTGTATATCCTTTGCTGCTGGCATGTATATTATTTGCATATACCTAGTTCACCTTGTATATGGTGTGCATACTTGTGGATATAGTGTTTCAGATTTTGTATATCACTTGAATAATTTAGATTGGTTACTAATTAAAAATATATTTATATATTTGTTTTAACTTTAGATTTTTAAAAGTTACCAAGCTTAGAATGACTTTTTTTTGGCATACATACCTAATCTTAAAGTTGACTTTATTTTAAAGCTTTTTTTTATCCATCAAACTCTGTTAAAGATTTCAACCCTGAATTAAACTGTTTTTATATTATTTTTTTAAATCATTTTAACTATCCATTTCACATTTACAAGCACATTGCATTTGGTAATTACTTTTTTTTTTTTTAAACTTGGAAAGGTAACTTTCTTGGAGGATCTTTTAATTTAGGGAGTACATTCATTAAATTAGAATTGGCCTTTTTACACAAATTTGCAATTGTTTTCTGTTTGTTTGATTTATTATTTTATAATATTTTAGACTTTTAAACATGGGAGGTGTATTACTAATAACCAAATTAACACTGAATGGGTAACTATGACTACATAGTTTTTGTTTTTGTTTTTTTTTTTTTTTTTAATGATTGAACTGGATGGACTTTTTTGTCTTTTTTCAATCAGACTAACTAACTATGTAACTATGTACATAATAATTGATTAATATTAATAATTCTTACTTAATGGGCATTACATATGTATTATTAATGAGAGTTAATTAAGCCATATTACTTATTGGTTTAGGGGTAATGGGGATCAGTTTTGAAGCTACTTTATTTCTCTTGCTTGTAGCAGAAATGTTTTTTAAAACATTTGACACCCCAGTAACAAAATGGCCATTTTTTTAATATCTATGATAGACATACCTTGAATTTACTATCTTATATGTTATAATTAAGGACATGTATTGCAGCTCAATATTTCCCAGAACAATCTGCAATTGGTGAACACAGTGGAGAAAGAAACGCTGAGCAGGGGAAAAAATCTATGGAATTATATACCCAGCAATGATAAATATACTGTCTCAAGCAAAATGTATATTAAAATACTTTTGTCAGTTTATAAATACGGGGAAATTAATTTTGGAGCTGCTGGCATGGCACAATTGTTACCATTAGGTGCCACATTTCAGATAATATAATCTATTATTAATGGATAGATTCCAAGTGGAGCTCAGCTCCTGAAAAGTTTTTTTTTTTTTTTTCAGTAATGCAGCCTTTCTGAACCTTTTCAATGCAGAGGAACCCTTGAAATAATGTTGTGGTCTCAGGGAACCCTTGCTAATAATTACTATATCTACAACTCATGATACATTAGGTCAGTCGGAAGAATGTTCTCCAAGCTATGGCTCTCCAGCTGTTGAAGTACTACAAGTCCCATCATGCCTCTGGGAGTCTTGCCTGTGGCTGTCAGGGTCTTGCAAGGCCTCATGGGACTCGCAGTTCCTCAACACCTGGAGGGCCATAGTTTGGAGACCCCCGCTCTATACGCTTGTGATCATTGGGAAGAATCCCCCCCTTACAGATAAAAAGATCATTGGTGTCAGAGTGAACTTATCTGAGAGGCAGAAATTGCTCATTGCTCAAGGAACCCTTAGCAACCTCTGGGGGATCCATGGTTGAGGAACCCTGGTGTAATGTGTTGTGTGCTATTATATAAATGAAGGAAAATAACAAAGGCCACATATTAAATTGAATATATATAAAATTGACCATTATTAGGCTATAGTGACTGTGGGGTTGATCTACTAAAGCTGGTTCAGCTGGTTGGTGCATCTGTGCATGGCAGCCAATCACCTTCTAACCTCAGCTTGTTCAATTAAGCTTTAGAAATAAAACCTGGAAGCTGATTGGTTTCTATGCAGAAGTGCAGGAGATTCTGAGTGAACCAGCTTTAGTCAATAAACCCCACTGATCCTACTTATTACAAGTTGAAAGGGTAGAAACAAAGAAACAGTGAAAGAAAGCAAAGCCTAGCAAGTGTGCACCTTTCTATTTATTGTTTTGTTTTTTTTGAGTTTTTGTTTTCCTTTTTTCAAATTGTATAGATCTCTACCTCCGCTGGAAGTCTGTTCTGTACTTTTTCTGTCAATAATACTTTCTAAGGTTTACGTGAAACTTTCCTCCTCTAGTTTCAGTTCTTGATTGCCTTCTAAGAAATTTCTGCCCTTTTTCTGTTTCACCCCCTTTCTAAGGTTTACGTGAAACTTTCCTCCTATTAGTTTCAGTCCATGTCCTCCTGTTCTTGATCTTGCCTTCATATTGAAATTCCTGCCCTCCTGAACCTTATTCACCCCCTTCATGGATTTAAAGGTGTCAGTCATGTCCAACCTTTTCCATTTCCTCCAGGCAGGACATATTAAGTTCCTGAAGTCTCTCCTGATATGTTTGGTCCTTCAGATCTTTCACCATTTTTTCTGCCCATCTCTGGACTCGAACTGTCTTATCTGTATCTTTTTGTAAGTGAGGTCTCCAGAACTGGGCGCAGTGGGGGGTTGACTTGCTGAAGGCAAACATTTGGTCACTTTGCAAGGGGAATTTTCCTTTAACTTAGTGAATGAGGTAAAAATTTACTTTTTAAAAAAAAAAATCCAACCATGTGTAAGAATAATATTTTTAAAAACTGTATTTTCGCATACACATGATTGATTGATGAAGTCCAGTGTAGAGATTCATAGTTACATAGTAAGGCTGGCCATACACTATATAATTTTCTGTCCAATTTCAGCCCAATTTTTAGATTTACTTTCAACTGTGTAGTGCAAGGGCCCACCTAATTGGATACAACTGAAAGTGTTGTTTAGGTTTGACCTCATATTTTATGGTTTTTGGTAAATCTAAAGCAATTTTCTAAAGAAAATTGTATAGTGTATGGCCAGCCTTAGTTGGCCATACACTATAAATTTTCTTTACTATACACTTATAAATTTTCTTCCAATTTTTTCTGCCCAATTTCCTTTATATTTACCTGCAACTATGTAGTGTAAGGGCTTTCCTAATTGGATACCATTGAAAGTGTTGTTAAGTTTGACCTTCTATTATATTTATTATTTTTTTGGTAAATCTAAACCAAAAATCTCAAGAAAATTGTAAAATGTATGGCCAGCCTAATATTGTATACATGATACCATTTTCTTACAATTTCCTGTCCAATTTCTGCCCAAGATAGATTTACCATCAACTATGTGGTGCAAGGGCCTGCCTAATTGGATACAATTGAAAGTGTTTAGGTTTGACTCCTATTTATGGTTTTTGGTAAATCTAAACCAAAATCCTGAAGAAAATTGTATAATATATGGCCAGCCAAAGGCATGGCCATTATACAATTTTTTTGAGAATTTTGCTTTAGACTTACCAAAAACTATATAATATGAGGTCAAACCTAAACAACACTTTCAATTGTACCCAATTAAGCAAGCCCTTGCACTACATAGTTGAAGGTAAATATAAAGAAATTGGGCAGAAATTGTAAGAAAATTGTATAATGTATGGCCAGCCTTAGTCTGGCTGAAAAAGACAAAAGTCCATCCAGTTCACCTCACTCATCACACTTGGAGTATATTATCCTGCAAAGTGAACAGCCTATTTGCTTTTAATAAACCAAATCAAGTAACTCCGGCCAAAACTGTTTTTATGTAAAAGTGGAAAAAATGAATTTCTGAAGAGGAAGCAGAGTTTTGGATGGAGTGGGATCGGGGTACAACCTATGTCCAGATGTCTTACTGTCTGCCTTCATTAATGGAAGATCTTCCACACTTTGTCCAAAACCTTATATAAAAATGTATAAAAAGTAAAAAAAAAAAAAATTTGGATAGAGTAGAAAATGGTGAAAAGATTTCTTTTCACTTCCTATACTATAGACCAGGGTCTCCAAACTATGGCCCTCCAGTGTTGAGTAGTATGCCTCTGACTTTGGAAGTCTTGCCTGTGGCCAAAGTTTTGCAAGGCCTCATGGGGGATTTGCAGTTCTCAACACTCCAAGGGCCATAATTTGGAGACCCCTGCTATGACCAAGGATCTCCAAACTGTCTCCAAGTGTTGAGGAACTGCAAGACTCTGACAGCCACAAGTAAGACTCCCAGAGGCAGAGGCATGATGGGACTTGTAGTACATCAACATTGGAGGGTCATAGTTTGGAGACCCCTGATCTAGACAACACAGGACATCTTTCCAAAGGAATGGAAATCTACTCTTAAGCTGGCCATACACTTGTAGAACCTCACCAGAATATTGGGGGTTATTTACTAAATGTAAAATCTGGTGCAACTCTGCATTGTAACCAATCCGCTTCCAGGTTTTATTGCCTAAGCTTAAGGCTGCATTCACACTTGAGCATTTTGTAGCTTGAAACTCAAAGCTCCAAAGAAGCTCAAACTTTTCAAAAATCAATTGTTCTCTATGGTGCCTGTTCACACCTGATTCTGCAGACAGGCACCATAGAGAACAATTGATTTTTTTAAGTTTGAGCTTTTTTGGAGCTTCGAACTACAAAACGCTCAAGTGTGAATTCAGCCTAATTGAACACAGCTGAAGTTAGAAGCTGATT